AAGTAGCCACAGGGGTTGTGGGAGTGTGTCCTGCAAGGTTTTTGTCTTTTATTAACACACAGCCTCAGCAAAATGCCAGCACACATGCGCAGGCACCCATGGTCACATTGAAAGACACCACACATAGACACACCGGCCGCCCTTTGTCAGAGCATCTGTGACCCAAACATTCTTTTCAGTGTCACTCACCACAATCACCACAAACAACCAAATGGCAACATAATATGTACTCTCACACACACACAGACACACGCACACACGCGCGCACACACACACACACACACACACACACACACACACACACACACACACACACACACACACACACACACACGCACAAACGCAGAGGCGGTGCCACGGAAGAGGAAGAGTTCATCTTTTGTACTTGGGCGCCATCACGCACGCACGCATGCACCTCGCAGACACACAAAATGGAATGATTATAATTTCACAAGCTGCATGTGCACAAAGTTGTCCCGTTGTCTACTTTTGGACTTTTATTTGAAAGTCGGGCACGTGAAGTCAAACTTGTGTGGTTTCAGTGGCTTTTAATCATGCTTTCAAAATGGAGACTCGACTCATTCTCGGCATCTTCGAAACAAAAGGGACTGAAGTGTTGTGGTTTTTCCCTTCCTTTTTCTGAGGGGCTTTTATTTTGAAAGAAGCATCAACAACAATATATTAAGATAAAGCACTCAACACGCGCAATAACAACGACTCTTAAATTATGTCAGCGCCATCACCCTGCATTGAACCACACCATCATATCGCTTTTACTTTGGAGGAAAACAAAAGAAATAAATAGGACTGGATTCGGGAGGAAAGGACGAGCTAACAGCAGCGCACAGGTTGCGTCGCAAAGTGGCGAAGAAAAAAGACAACAGTGGATGCCCGCAATTCACAGGGGGAGGGGCGATCGGACAAGTCTGCAAATTGCGATGGTCTGAATCTCATCATAAGCGACGCCCGCAAATCCGACAACCGTCTTATTCACACGTACAGAGAAAAAAAAAGACTTTTGAAGGATCATACACGGGTGCGCGCACGACTTGATGGTCGATGAGCAATTGGCTGGTCGCCAGCTCATCGGATATGGAGGCAAAGATTGGAGCGGTCACCGGTCGGTGTCAGGAGACAAACGGCGGACAGGGCGCCGGTCGAGGCCAGGACGCATACAGACAAAACGGGCATCGCGGCACATCCGGTCGACCAGAAACAAACAGAACACGGTGAGCGGCACGACGGCTGCCGCCACCGACGGCACGCAATAGGCACAAAATGAGCTCAACGGCAACACGACTCTTTGGGGAGCGCGTGAGCAGAAAGTCGCGGCGCGGTCTCGTCGTCGGCCACCGACAGGCGGCTGAAGATGGGCAGGCGGCGGCCCTCGACGCCCGGCGACTCGCTGCCGCCGGAAGCCGAGCTGAGGGAGCAGGACGAGGCGTAGCCCTCCTCGGAGAGCGAGTCGGCGGAGGAGCAGCGCCGGAGGCCGGGGGGCTCCGGGAGGGCGGCCGGAACCTCGGGAGGGGCGCGGCGTTCGGAGGCCACATCGGGGCGCGGGGTTCCGGCGCGCCCGCCCGCGCCCAGGAAACAAAGAGCCGAGGCGGCGGCGGACTCGCCGTCGTCGGCCGCGATGAAACCAAGACCGGAGTCGGCGTCGTCCGCAGCGATCGCGAAGAAACCAAGAGCGGGGTTGACGTTGTCGGCCGCGGCGGAAAAAACAAGCGCAGAGTCGGCGGCGTCGTCTTCTCCGGCCGGTTCGGCGGCAGCGCAGAGAGGGTACGGGCAAGGACGGAGAAGCCCCGGCTCTGGGAAGAGAGGCGAGAGGAGCCGCGGGCTCCCCGAGGGCGACGCGGACGAGGGCCGGGCCGAGCGCGGAGACGACGACGGCGGCTTCGATCGGTGGGCGGCCGCGAAACCGGCGAAGCTGAGGCTGTGGCGCAGAGGGGGCGGCCGCGGCTCGCCCCGTGCCCGCAGGAGCTCCTCGGCGTTGTGGATGAAGTGGCAGCGGGCGCCGTACGGGCAGAAGCCCACCGTGTGGAAGGTGCGGCACGGCTCCGTCTTGTACTTGGGGTGGCGGCTCAGCCCTCGCAGCTCCTCCGGGCCGTGCGCAAACTGGCACTTGGCGCCGTACTTGCACAGGCCGCTCTCCTCGAAGGTGCGGCACAGTTCCGTCTTGTAGCGCGTGGAGAGGCGGGGCGAGGTCGGGGGCGGGCCGCAGCTCCGGTCGCCCACGCAAAGGCCCGGCGGAAGCCGGGCGGGCGGAGGCGGCGGCTGCGGCGCCCCCTCGTCCGCGCCGACCCCGCCCTCGATCACACTGACCGAGCGGTCGGTCCTGAAGGGAATGCGGCTGAGTAGCGAGCGAGGGAGCCGGCTTTCCCGCTTCCACTCCGGCCCCCGAGCCGAGGGCTCGGCCTCGCCGTCGCTGAACTCGGAGTGGAGGAGCGCGACGGGGCAGAGGGAATGGCGGCGCCGGAAGCCGCGATCTCCGAGCGGAGGCCGCAGGGTCGCCGCCGCCGTCACCTCCAGGCCTGCAAAGGTCTGACGGCGAAACAAGAACAAGACGGCGTCAGGCCTTTCGGAGACACATGAAGTGCTCGCAACTTCTTTTCAACCAACTCATCCGTGATCAAATCGACTGGCGGCTATTTGGATCGTCTTTGACAGAATTTGTTTGGTTTCAACTCAAAACTCGTTCACTGCCGTGCCCTGCGACCGACCGGCGACCAGTTCAGGGTGTAGTCTGCCTTCCGCCCGAGGTCAGCCCGGAAAGGCTGCAGCAACGCCTCGCGACCCTCGTGAGGAGAGGCGGATTTAAAAACGGACAGATGAATGGATGGATGGGTGGAACTCATTCACTGCCATTGACGGCTCTGGACGTCAAAGATGTCACTGGGCAGCCAGTGAATGGTTCACAACCTTGGAATTGCAGCCTCTCAAACAGGAACTGTTGTCTTTGTGTTTCATCAAAACAAAAAAGACATTTACAGACAGTACGTTGAGAGAACAACGATTGACGTTTGTGCATATTTTCTGACGGACGTTACAAAGCACACAGAAAACGTCTCAGAAGAATTGACACTCATTATGAAATTCAGCAGTATTAAAAAAAAAAAAAAAAAAAAGAATGTAAAATTCCTGAACACAAATTAGCGAGGGATGGGGGTCAACAAATGCAATGAAGCGAGGATTTTGGCCCATAAGCAGGGGACAGGCTCCCTCCAAAATTCAAGGTTTTGGAGTTGGGCTGACGCAGAGCGCTTCCTTCTCAGCGTTTGTGCTTTTTGTTGCCAGCCCAGAAGAAAAAGGCTGTTGATCTCACCTTGCAGAACTCCCGGTCCACTTCCAGGAAGGGCGTGAGGAAGTCGGACGGCATGCTTGCGAAGACGCCGGGAGGTCCAGAAAGTTTCCCTTGCGACTTCTCTTCTGGGAGGCTCGAGTGGTGCCGGGACACCACCAGGCGGAGGGTCCTGGTCTCTTGGTGTCCTGGTCTCCTGGTCTCCTGGTCCGGGGCGGTGGGCGGCTGGCGGCAGGACCCACTACGCGTTTGACGATGGGACCGGAGTTCTTCCACCATCTGCTGGAATCTGTTTAAATAGCTGGGGGGGGGGGGCGCCATCCCCCGCCCACCCATCCACAGCCACCCCCCACCAGTTGGGCTCGAAGCAGCCAATTGTCTCCAACTCGCATGCTTTTTCTTCTTTTTTTTGTCTCCATCAAATTTAAATTCCCAAGGTGAAGAGGGAGGCACCCCTCACCCCCCCTCCCGCGCCACTGCTCTTTTGAGAAAAACGCCTTTGAGTGGCTTATTCCCACGTATTCAAGAACGTCTTGAGATACGAGCAGGCAAAACCATCTCGGCTTTTCTTCTTGTTATTTTGTTTCCACGTCTGCCAGTGTGGCCGTCCGTTTGCGCGTCTTCGCTGCTGGATCGTGTGTTTTGTGCGTGTCTATTTTTGTCTGCGTGTGCGTGAGAGGTGGGAGGGGGGGGCGTGAAGGCGTGTGACCCGGACGACTTGTCTGACAATTTCTTTGGCCTCAACTCGGTTGTTTCTGTTGGCCAGTTGGATTTGAAACCACAAAACACAACCGACATCCGTTATCACTCATACACAGTGTGGATGTCTGCGCGCGTGTGCGAGTTTGTGGGCGCGCTGATGAGTAAGCGACACATCGGAGATGTGGGTGCAGGTGGGGGTCATGTAAAGGAACCTCGAGAGTTGATGTCAACTATCTTGACATTTTGATCGGGTAAGAAGGTGGCATTGAACTTTGTTTGTTGTTCTGGTGCGGCAGCAATATGCGTCTGTCGTTCCCTTCGGGCGGGCCACTTTCTGATCCTAACAGTACTCACTCACGTCACTCGTTTTTTTTTTCTTTCACCCGCTCCTGCCACTCGTGTCTACTAGGACCACCGCTTTGGCAATTTCTACCACCACTGTCATTCTTCCGACGACTTCCTACCGGTCCTTGTACTACTTTACTACGAGCAAAACTACCGCAAGAGAGAGCGGTTGGCCATCCATGACGTCAGCATCATCGCTGTCACGGCTAAGCGCCCCCCCCCCGCCCCCGGACTTGCCCTCGGCCCCTCTTTGTTGTTGGGGTCCGCGGAGGACAAGGGCTCCATTGTCCTCACCGGCCCATATGTTGCCGCCCCGCACGCAGTTGAAGATACGTGCAGGGGCGCGCGCACGCACACAACGAAGTTGGATCAAAAACCAGATCCGATCCGACGAGACTTTCTGGCTTGACACCGCATGCGACAACGTGGCGTTGTGCGGCTTGACTTCGGATGACATCCCGCGGCCCAGCGGCACGCATCTCTGCCAGTGCGTGCCGCTGGGCGTGTAGCTGGGGGCTTCACGCACCGCACTTCCCCTCCTCACTTCACTTCTCCCTCGGAGGAGAAAGCCAACAGCAGGCGGGCCAACTTCCTGCAGAACGCGGGCGTGGCGGTGTCCGGGGGTGGCCGAATGAGCGTCCAGTGGCTTTGGCGAAAGACGGGACACCCTCTGATGTCATTTTGCCGCCAAACTGCAGCCCCCCCCCCCCACACACACACACACACACTGTGCATCTGTGTCTGATGCTGGAATGAGACCGAACACGAATCGAGCGTTTCTGGCTGTGGGATTCCAGATGAAGTCTGTGTCTGGCGAATGTCGCGTGGTTGCGCATTGCACGTCACGAACGGAGCAATCATGGAAGAAATACGCGACGTTCGGTTCACATTGACTCCAAATACGACCCTCCATCTCTGCTGGCAAGGAGCGCGCGCGTGTGTGTGCGTGGGCGCGCGCATTCGTGTGACTACGTTGATAAGTGAGTGGCTTTAACGACATTGATGTCCTCACATTGATCATGTCAGCAGTTAACGAATTATAACTGCTGACTTTGTGTGTGTGTGTGTGTGTGCGTGTTCGCGCGCGCGAGTGCGCAAGTGCGGTTAGTGTGTGGCAATGTGTGAGCGGTGACGGCTTAACGAACACAGCTGCCATCAGTTAGGCCGAGCAGAGTACAACAGCAGTGGTGGATGTGGTTTACTGTACTTTGTATGTGCGTGTGCGTGTGCGTGTGCGTGTGTGTGTGTGTGTGTGTGTGTGCGCGTGTGTGGTGCCACACTTGAATAAATAATCAAAAGGCAAAGGAGAAGCCAATTGGCATGGCGTGTATTTGAAGCAAACAAAAACCTTGGCCTTAATAAAGTCTGTTGAGCTTTGATGGGCTAATGAGTAGCTTTTCGAAAACAAGCTGACAGTACAGTACAGCTTTGCTCCCCTGCATAGGTGTGTCTCACCCATTTTGGAGGGGTGCTCAAGCACCTCCCAAATTTTTTTGAGAGACCGAATCCGACGCCGCCGTTCTCTTCTTGCGAACTGGACCACACCGGACCCCACAGGGGTCGGCGCCACCGCCATCACCACCCACACAGAATGCGCATCAAGTCCTGGTGAATTTTGGGCTTTATTGGGCACTTTTGGGGAAGGACGGCATTGCGGGATCGGCGCGCGGCGCTCGGAACAAAGCGGCCGGCGAAACGCCGTCGCGTGTCTTCTCATGCGATGATGTCTTCTATCTTTTCATGAGGTTGTTGGCTTTCTGGTTGGCGGTGTCGATGCGCGTCACGTTCAGGATGGCCTGCACAAACCCGGCAAACAAACAAATAGCATATTTACCCGCTTTCGGGACAACCGTGAGTGTCGACGACGTGCAGTCATGAAATGGAGTTCAAAAGAACCAAAGAGTTCTTGGCCACCTGGGGACAGTCTACGACAGACACACAAATGAACCACAGTAGACTCTCAGCTCCTCTCTCGGTTTCTCAGCACGGCGGGAACTCCATGGCGTTGTTCTTCACAGAGGATAAAGAATATTTGCCTGTGATGTTCAACGGGGTGACTCAGAGTGAAGCGGCACCCATCAAGGGAACCTCCGAAGCGAACGTTGAAGCCAACTTTGCAAGCTAACGCTGGCGTTAATGTCGGGAAGCTCACATTCGGTCGGGGTAAGGTTGGAACCTCGCTTCGGAAGCAAACGTGAGGGCTCGACGCGATAGGTAACGCGCAAAGCCACACTGAGAACTTCACGATGAAGGCAGCGGCGGGCGGACGGGCCATACGGCGTGCTGGACACTGTCCCGGTGGGCCGCCGCAAGCTAACGTTGGCACCGACCCCGGTCTTGCTTCGCGCTAACGTCCAAAGTTACATTGGGAGCAAACTTAACTGTAAGAAGCGAATCAAGGGACAAGTGATCAAAATCATCCACAACAGTTTTGACGAACAACTAAGTGTTCCGAGAGAGAAGATTGTCCGAGCCCTCGGACCATTTCTGCCCCTCAGCCGTCAGCGTTCTCCAATTTCCGCGGTCCTCCGTTCCGGCAGCCTGATCAGCTGTCGCTTTGAGTCAAATGAGGACGTTTGCAAACAACGAGCAACACCTTCTGACTCGTTCCACACCAAAGCAGTCAGAAGGGCAATCATCATCGCTTTATGAGCGGGCCCGATTCCGAAAAGAAGTCGGCGTTGTCGGTAGCGGCGCGCCGGCGCTCACCTTGCCCCGAACGCGTTCCATCTGGACGTTCTGCGAGTCGATCTCGTTGCCCATGTCCAGCGCCATGCACCTCAGGTTGCCCACGATGCTGCCCACGTGCGCCAGGTTGTCGTTCATCTCGTCCTCGCGGGCGTCCTGCGTCACCCTGTCGCAAAGACGACGACGGGGGGGGGTGAGCCCAAACGCTTTCACAAAGCGCCTTTGCGCCTCTACCTTTGAATGTATCCTCCGCTCATGATCATCTGCTCGCGCTCGTCCACCACTCGAGACGACGGCGGCTGATTGGAAACCACCCCGTCCCGG